AACCGAATGGCATCACCCTGAACTGAAACAGTCCTAGGTGACAAGCAAATGCGGCCTTCTGCATGTCAGCCTCATCAAGGGCTACCTGCCAATACCCGGACCTCAAGTCCAACGTAGAGAAGTACTTCGCTTTCCCTAATAATGCCAATATGTCATCTATTAGTGGCAATGGCACCGACAACGGCTTCGATATAGAATTTAGTTTCCTAAAATCTACACAAAAACGGTGCCCGCCATCTTTCTTACCTACATTTACGATTGGAAAACTCCAAGGGGAGATCGATTTTTCGATCATCCCAGATTCTAACATCTCTTCTACTGCCTCTTCTACAAGGGGTCTTTTATGAATAGGTGTCCGGTAGGGTTTTAATTTCACAGAGGGGTGATCTCCGGTGTCGATTTTCATTTTGACTGTGTGGGTCTGGCCCAATTCCTTGTCTGACGGGGCCACCACATCTCGATTATCCCTCAGCAGACCTCCCACCCTGGTCCTAAATTGATCAGGTGCTAATATATCCTCGTCCACTATTCCTTCTGTTTGCTCTACAAGTTTTCTTCGTTCCCCTTCGAATCTCACCCGATTCAGAGTCCGTAGGGGTAGTGCTTTTCCTATTTCTTCCCCTCTCTTAACCATTATAGTATTTTGGGCCTGGTTCACCATCATAATGGGCACTAATTCAGCTGCCTCCACCACCGTCTCACACAGAGTTACCTCATTTTCTTCTAGGCCCTTCCCTTCTACAGGGACCAATTGCAGGGGTCCTTTTCCTATTTTCTTCCCTGACATTAACCTACCCTTTCCCGACACCGCCGTCCTAGCCGGTAGCTTTACATCTTCCTCCACCACTATTGTTATCTCTTCCTTTGGTGGGCATCCCAATGGCGTTCTCTCGCCATTCACTATCAACACAGTGGGGTTGAACTCTATCTGAGCGCTCTGGCTCCGGAGCCAATCTTCTCCCAAGATTTCCTCCGTGCACAGGTTGGGGGTTACATAAAAATTTTGGGTGCTTCTTAATTTCCCAATCCTCACAGGGAGCCTCGCCACCCCTTTTATCTCCTTCTCCATCTGCTTGCGTAACCTCTATGTCCGCTTCCCGTAACCCACTCTTCCGTTTCACCCGCCTGTATGCTTCCTCTCTCAGCAATGAAACACACGCTCCTGTGTCCACCAGGGCTTTCATCGCCCTACCCTCTATCTCTGCTCTACAGGATAGCTCCTTCTCTTGCGTCAGCGAAGAGAACACTTGGGCTTTCTTTTTCCTGGGTTCCCACCTTTGAGTCATCCCAGCCATAGGCACCGGTAGCAACAAATCACCTTCATTATTCTTACGAGAGAGAGTTCTGCGCTTTCCGCACCTGGGCGGCCCCGGCTGGACCTCTCCCAGTCTCCTGCGGCTGTTCCCAAGGATACAACTCCTCTTCAGGTGCCATGGTCTCCTACAAAACCAGCACCTTCTTGCCGGACAGTTCACCGCAAAGTGGCCCACCTGACCACATGTCCAACATTTTGCTCTTTTTCTCTTCAACTGGGCTACCCTCTCGTTTATTCCCGGGGGGACCTGCCCTCTACCTAAGTGGCTCGCCTGACCACATGTCCAAGTTTTTATTTCCTTTCTTTTTAACTGGGCCACCCTCCCTCTTAATTCCGGGGTGGCCCGCTGGCTTTTCCATAGTTTTGTCTCTTGGGCTCGGCCTTCTTTATTAATGTCGGTGGGGCACCTTTTATCAACCCGCACCACTTGGCTAGGTGTCCCTTCTTTCCACACCTAGTGCACCTGTCCTGTGGTCCTCATGCTCACAAGTCCAGCAGACCAGCCCGTGTCTACCCGACGTGGGCTTATAGAACCCATGCCTTGTTGACCACGCCTTTCTATTGGGGTCTTCTTTCCACACCTCAGGCTCATCTACCTCCAGCTTGACCCTCCGATTCCACGCAGGGGGTCTTCCCCCTTCCCCACTTCTTCCGACCTCTTGACTTCGTACCTGCCTCTTCCCACACCTTCTCACTTTTTCCCATATACCCTGGCTCTCTCTGGCCAGCTCTACTGCTGCTGATAGTCTCAGCGGTCCCTCCTTCAGCACATCGTGACGAACACGATCGTCACTGAGTGCCTCAACATACAGGTCCGCTAACTGGGCCTGCATGACCGCATTGTCTCTCACCACCTCTGGGAAGGCCAATGATGACAGCTTCCCCGCTCAGGGCCCCAATTCTCAGGGGTTTCGTCCCAGCTGCGTCAACTTTAGGAGGGCTCTCATGGCCTCTATCGCCGTCCCCTCGTCAGCGAACTCCTTAGTTAATAGTCCCTTTAACCTTTCCCATGACAAGTGGGGTTCACTCTCCCAGAGCCCTTTCATAAACTCAGACGCTTTCCCTCTCGTGGCATCATATGCCAGATACAGGGCCTCCTGGTCTGTGAGTTCATATATAACTCTGCTCTTCTCCAGGATTGCCAGACAGTTTTTGAAATCTTTCCCACTGGCGTCAAATGTTGGGACCCTCGGTCCACCCAACAATCCTCTCAGGTCAGCTGACAATCCCTGTCTAACCCCATCTTCCTCCCCCACTATTCTATCTGATTCATAGTCCGACATATTTAAAGAGAAAGACAATTTAAGCAGCAACAATCGAGATTGGGAAATCAAACAAGTGTCCTACCTGTCAGACGATTCTCTTCTCGTTCCTCTCAAGTTCCGGGTCGTTGCCCTAGAGTCTCTGGAACCGTATGGCCACAGCCAACCAAAGTCCTTTGGTTCCTACTCTAGTTCGTCTCGCTTTGAGTCCTATTCGAAATTTCTCAGCAACAGCGGGCGATCCAGGGTCCTGTCCTGCTGTCACGGTACTAATTGTGACAGTGGCTGTTCCAGGGTCCTATCCTATGGTCACGGCACCAACTGTGACGTCCCTAAACTCAGCCTTCGCTCGCTCCTCGCTGCTTCGTTTGGGTGTCGCCGCTCCAAACGTGACGTCCACCTGTTGCGTTAGTCGTGTTGTCCCGTCCTGTGACGACCAACTGGCTTGGTATCGGTCGCGGCACCCAAATGTGACGTTCTAACCTTTTGGTGATTCGGATGGGAATCTGGTTAGATTCGATATCAGCCTCGTTGTTCTCAACTCGCTTCCAACGTCTGGTTACCAAAGTAACTGCGTTGATCTCCAGTCTGCCTACCCACGTTGTGAATTGATCTTAGGCAGACGAAATCAATCAGTCGTTGGGGCCGTAACGCAAATTGAGTTCAAACGGGGTGATATCACAAAATATGCATAAAAGAAAATAAAATGAAAACTCAAAAGTTCAAGGTATCAAAAAAAGGATAACAATACTTTATGTCTAGTTGCTGGATACATAGGACTGCGTCTATCTCCCGACCCGTTATATGGATTGTGACACGTTTGTCTGTTCTTTAAGAAATTGGTTCTTGGTGTGTCTTCAGGCGAAAGTCGAACAACTTATTTTGGTTGTATGGATCTAAGTCGCTCTTCAAAATAAATTGTTCTTGGATTGAAGACGAGTTCGGAAGTTGCGCGAATCTTAGTCAGCTGCGAGGCCTGCTTCAACTGAGCGCCCTGAACTCTTAGGGAAACTCTGCCGGACAAAGCTGTACTCTACTCAACTGATTTCTGCTCGCTGCGACTTTTCTTATATGGACGCCGACCAAAACCGGGGTGGGTTTGTCGGCGTTGGAGGTTCCTCGATAATTCTAAATACATATCCACTTCTTTTATTTTCGGTGAGGAATTTTCCACTTCTTTCCATTTTTGGAAGTCTTCTCTTACTCCCACCTTCTCACCATTCTTCAGAGGGGCGTCAACGGTCCTCCCCACTTCTTCGTAGCAACCTCTCATACCCATCCTCTAAATAGGCGGCGGCGGCTTCCCTCCTTGCGTCACGTGATCACCTCCGGCCAATGATGTCCAGCCGGGCGTGTGCGATCCAGCGGGCTTTGTTTCAGGAAAAAAAATATATCTTGCTCAAAAAAAAATTAACTTTTTCTTTTCTTTTTCTTTCCTTAATCGCAGCTCTCATTTTCTCTGGCCGCCAACAGAACAGTGCGACCAGTAATGTCATAACCTCTATTCTCATCTGGACTTCGTCAGTCAGATTTTCGCTAGTCATCAGAATGGGTGGTCGTCCAGCAAAACACAATCGACCGTCGTCTCGAAAAAACAGTTCCATTGTTCTAGTCATTCGTGGTGCCAATTTCTGACAACATAGTTTTGTTATCACAACCGAACTCTAACACCGATAGATGTCTTATCAAAAAACGGTCAGCCGTTACTCAAGGTTGGCTCCTGTGCGGCTTAGCAGACGACACAGTTAATTTTTCGTATCTATCCAAAGCCCTGTATTTCACCTGTTCTTTGTCAATTATCAAAATAACATTATCAATTGGAGTTTTCTTAGCTAGTCGGTCTGTGGTTTGCTAATTAGATGTTTGCCCGCATTAAGCGGCTGTTATCTATCCCCGATAACACAAGTTCGTCGCAAGAACATAGTCGATTCCCTTATCCACTTAGAATTTTTTTCAATGGTAATGACACCTTTTCGCCATTTGCTACTTATCAATATAACATTGTCAAGGCCCCTGGTCTTGGGTGGTTTCTTTTATCATCTACGCTTAAGTCTCGCCTCTCTTTCCTTTCTTTTTCTCTTTTCCTTTCCCTTTTCTTTTTTGCCACAATATGTAGAATAAAATGCAGGAATGACGACATCAAATGTAGAATAATGAATGCAGAATGAAGACATGTAGAATAATGCAGGAATGAAGACATGAATAATTAATGCGAATGAAGACATCAAATGTAAATAATGAATGGTGAAGACAGTGGAATAATGAATGCTGGAATGAAGACATCAAATGTAGAATAATGAATGCAGGAATGGACACCAAATGAATAATGAATGCAGGAATGAAGACATCAAATGTAATGAATAATGAAGACACCAAATGCAGGAATGTGGAATAATGAATGCTGGACATCAAATAAAGAATAATTAATGCTGAATGAAGACATCAAATGTGAATAATGAATAATCAAATAATGAATGCAGGAATGAAGACACCAAATGTGGAATAATGAATGCAGGAATGAAGACACCAAATGGAATAATGAATGCTGGAATGAAGACATCAAATGAATAATTAATGCTGGAAATGAAGACATCAAATGTGGAATAATGAATGAAATGAAGAAAAATGTGGAATAATGAATGCAGGAAAAATAAATGGCAGGAATGAGAAAATGTGGAATAATGAATGAATGAGAAAATGTAGAATAATGAATGCAGGAATGAAGACACCAAATGAATAATGAAAATGAAGGAATAATGAATGCAAATGAAGACATCAAATGGAATGCAGGAATGAAGACAAAATGTAGAATAATGAATGCAGGAATGAAGACACCAAATGGAATAATGAAAATTAAATGTAGAATAAATGAATGAGGAATGAAGACACCAAATGAATAATGAATGCAGGAATGAAGACACCAAATGTGGAAATAATGAATGCAGAATGAAGACACCAAATGTAGAATAATGAATGCAGGAATGAAGGCTGGAATGAAGACAAAAAAGAATAATTAATGCTGGAATGAAGACATCAAATGTGGAATAATGAATGCAGGAAAAGACACCAAATGTGGAATAATGAATGCAATGAAGACACCAAATGAAAATGAATAGGAATGAAGACACCAAATGTGGAATAATGAATGAATGAATCAAATGTAGAATAATGAATGCAGGAATGAAGACACCAAATGTGGAATAATGAATGCAAATGAAGAAAAATGTAGAAAATGAAAGAAAAGACACAAATGAATAATGAATGCAAATGAAGACACCAAATGAATAATGAATGCTGAAATGAAGACATCAAATAAAGAATAATTAATGCTGGAATGAAGACATTAAAATGTGGAATAATGAATGCTGGAATGAAGACATCAAATGTAGAATAATGAATGCAGAATGAAGACAGAAAATGAATGCAGGAATGAAGACAAAATGGAATAATGAATGCTGAATGAAGACATCAAATAAAGAATAATTAATGCTGGAATGAAGACATCAAATGTGGAATAAAATGCTGGAATGAAGACATCAAATGAATAATGAAAGGAATGAAGACACCAAATGTGGAATAATGAATGCAGGAATGAAGAATCAAATAATGAATGCAGGAATAAAGACACCAAATGGGAATAATGAATGCAAATGAAGACACCAAATGAATAATGAAAATGAAGACATCAAATAAAGAATAATTAATGCTGGAATGAAGACATCAAATGAAAAACGAATGCTGGAAAACATCAAAAGAATAATGAATGCAGGAATGAAGACACCAAATGAATAATGAAAGGAATGAAGACATCAAATGTAGAATAATGAATGCAGGAATGAAGAACCAAATGTGGAATAATGAATGCAAATGAAGACACCAAATGAATAATGAATGGAAATGAAGACATCAAATAAAGAATAATAAAATAATGAATGAAGACACAAATGGAAAATGAATGCAGGAATGAAGGAATAATGAAAAATGAAGACATCAAATGTGGAATAATGAATGCAGGAATGAAGACACCAAAAATAATGAAAAATGAATGACAGTGGAATAATGAATGCAGGAATGAAGACAAAATGTAAAAATGAATGCAGGAATGAAGACATCAAATAAAGAATAATTAATGCTGGAATAAGAATGAAATGTAGAATGAATGAAAAATAATGAATGCAGGAATGAAGACAAAATGTAGAATAATGAAAGGAATGAAGACACCAAATGTATAAAATGCAGGAATGAAGACACCAAATGGAATAATGAATGGGAATGAAAAAAATGTAAAGAATGCAAATGAAAAAGAATAATGAATGCAGGAATGAAGACACCAAATGTGGAATAATGAATGAATGAAGACATCAAATGTGGAATAATGAATGAAGAAGAATATGTAGAATAATGAATGCAGGAATGAAGACATCAAATGTAGAATAATGAATGCAGGAATGAAACAAATAATGAATGCAGGAATGAAGACACCAAATGTGGAATAATGAATGCTGGAATGAAGACATCAAATGTAGAATAATGAATGCAGGAATGAAGACACCAAATGTGGAAAATGAATGCAAATGAAGACATAAATGTAGAAATAATGAAAAATGGACACCAAATGAATAATGAATGCAGGAATGAAGACATCAAATGTAGAATAATGAATGCAGGAATTAAATAAAGAATAATTAATGCTGGAATGAAGACATCAAAAATAATGAATGCAGGAATGAAGACAAAATGGATAATGAATGCAGGAATGAAACATGTAATGAATGCAGGAATGAAGACATCAAAGAATGCAGGAATGAAGACAAAATGTGGAATAATGAATGCAGTGAATGAAGAAACATCAAATGTAGAATAATGAATGAAATGAAGACACCAAATGTGGAATAATGAATGCAGAATGAAGACATCAAAAAATAATGAATGCAAAGACATCAAATAACTGGAATGAAGAAAAATGTGGAATAATGGAAATGAAGACACCAAATGTGGAAAATGCAGGAATGAAGACACCAAATGTAAAAATGAATGAGGAATGAAGACATCAAATGAATAATGCAAATTGAATGAAGACATCAAATGTGGAATAATGAATGCAGGAATGAAGACACCAAATGTGGAATAATGAATGCAGGAATGAAAAATGTGGAATAATGAATGCTGGAATGAAGACATGAAAATGAATGCAAATGAAGAGAACCAAATGGAATAATGAATGCAGGAATGAAGACATCAAATGTAGAATAATGAATGCAGGAATGAAGACACCAAATGTGGAATAATGAAAAATATATGACATCAAATGTAGAATAATGAATGCAGGAATGAAGACATCAAATAAAGAATAATTAATGGGAATGAAGAAAAAATGTAGAATAAATGAATGCAGAAATGAAGACACCAAATGTGGAATAATGAATGCAGAATGAAGAAAAATGTAGAATAATGAATGAAGGAATGAAGACGCAAATGTGGAATAATGAATGCAGGAATGAAGACATCAAATAAAGAATAATTAATGCTGGAATGAAGACATGAAATGAAAATAATGAATGCAGGAATGAAGACGCTAAATGTGGAATGAATAATGAAAATGAAGACAAAAAGAATAATGAATGCAGGAATTTAATAAAATGAGGAATGAAGACAAAATGAGAATAATGAATGCAGGAATGAAGACACCAAATGTGGAAAAGAGGAATGAAGACATCAAATGTAGAATAATGAATGCAAAATGAAGACATCAAATAAAAAAATAATGAATGCAGGAAAAGACACCAAAATGTGGAATAATGAATGAAGAATAAAGAAATAATGAAAAATGAAGAAAATAAAGAATAATTAATGCTGGAATGAAGACATCAAATGTGGAATAATGAATGCAGGAATGAAGACACCAAATGTGGAATAATGAATGCTGGAATGAAGACATCAAATGTAGAATAATGAATGCAGGAATGAAGACATCAAATGTAGAATAATGAATGCAGGAAATGAAGACATCAAATAAAGAATAATTAATGCTGGAATGAAAATCAAATGTGGAATAATGAATGCAGGAATGAAGACAAAATGTAGAATAATGAAAGTGAAGACATCAAATAAAGAATAATGAATGCAGGAATGAAGACAAAATGTAGAATAATGAATGCAGGAATGAAAACAAATAAAGAATAATTAATGCTGAATGAAGAGGAATGAAGACACCAAATGTGGAATAATGAATGCAGGAATGAAGACATCAAATGAGAATAATGTAAATGAAGAAGAATAATTAATGGGAATGAAGACATCAAATGCAAATGAAGAATCAAATAAAGAATAATTAATGCAGGAATGAAGACATCAAATGGAATAATGAATGCAAATGAAGACATCAAATAAAAAGAATAATTAATGCTGGAATGAAGACATCAAATGTAGAATAATGAATGCAGGAATGAAAAAATGTGGAATAATGAATGGAGAAATGAAAGACATCAAATGTAGAATAATGAATGCAGGAATGAAGACACCACATGTGGAATAATGAATGCAAATGAAGAAAAATAAAGAATAATTAATGCTGAATGAAGACATCAAATGTGGAATAATGAATGCAGGAATGAAGACACCAAATGGAATAATGAATGCTGGAATGAAGACATCAAATGTAGAAAATGAATGCAGGAATGAAGACATCAAATAAAGGCTGGAATGAAGACATCAAATGTGAATAATGAATGCAAATGAAGACATGAATAATGAATGCAGGAATGAAGACATCAAATGTAGAATAATGAATGCAGGAATGAAGACACCAAATGTGGAATAAAAATGCAGGAAAATGAAGACACAAATAAATGTGGAATAATGAATGCAGGAATGAAGACATCAAATGTAGAATGAATGAAAATGAAGACACCAAATGGAATAATGAATGCAGGAATGAAGACATCAAATGTAGAATAATGAATGCGAATGAAGACATCAAATGTAGAATAATGAATGCAGGAATGAAGACATCAAATAAAGAATAATTAATGCTGAATGAAGACATCAAATGTGGAATAATGAATGAGGAATGAAGAAATAAAGAATAATGAATGCACCAAATGTAGAATAATGAATGCAGGAATGATTCAATAATGAAATGAAGACATAAATGTAGAATAATGAATGCAAAAAGATGTTAATGAATGCAGGAATGAAGACATCAAATGTAGAATAATGAATGCAGGAATGAAGACATCAAATGTAGAATAATGAATGCAGGAATGAAGACATCAAATAAAAGAATAATTAATGAATGAAGACATCAAATGAATAATGAATGGGAAATGAAGACATCAAATGTAGAATAATGAATGCAGGAATGAAGACACCAAATGTGGAATAATGAATGCAGGAATGAAGAATGCAGGAATGAAGACAAATTCAAATGTGGAATAATGAATGCTGGAATGAAGACATCAAATGTAGAATAATGAATGCAGGAATGAAGACACCAAATTAATGAATGCAGGAATGAAGACATCAAATGAATAATAAATGAATGAAGACATCAAATGTGGAATGAAGACAAGACACCAAATGTGGAATAATGAATGCAGGAATGAAGACACCAAATGAATAATGAATGCAGGAATGAAGACATCAAAATGCAGGGAATGAGAATAATGAATAATGAATGCAGGAATGAAGACATCAAATGTAGAATAATGAATGCCATGAAGACACCAAAATAATGAATGGAATAAAATGAAATAATGAATGCAGGAATGAAGACACCAAATGTGGAATAATGAATGCAGGAATGAAGACATCAAATGTGGAATAATGAATGCAGGAAATGAAGACATCAAATGTGGAATAATGAAATGAAGACAGGAATAATGAATGAGGAATCAAATGGAATAATGAATGCAGAATGAAGACACAACTGAAGACATGTGGAATAATGAATGCAGGAATGAAGACATAAATGTGGAATAATGAATGCAGGAATGAAGAAAAATGTAGAATAATGAATGCAGGAATGAAGACAAATGAAATAATGAATAAGACATGAAATGTAGGAATGAAGACATCAAATGTAGAATAATGAATGCAGGAATGAAGACACCAAATGTGGAATAATGAATGCAGGAATGAAGACATCAAATGTAGAATAATGAATGCAGGAATGAAGAAGACATCAAATGTAGAATAATGAATGCAAATGAAGACATCAAATAAAGAATAATTAATGCTGGAATGAAGACATCAAATGTGGAATAATGAATGCAGGAATGAAGACATCAAATGTAGAATAATGAATGCAGGAATGAAGACATCAAATGTAGAATAATGAATGCAGGAATGAAGACATCAAATGTAGAATAATGAATGCAGGAATGAAGACATCAAATGTGGAATAATGAATGCAGGAATGAAGACATCAAATGTAGAATAATGAATGCAGGAAATGAAGACACCAAATGTGGAATAATGAATGCAGGAATGAAGACATCAAATGTAGAATAATGAATGAAGACAAATGAAGACAAAAGAATAATGAATGCAGGAATGAAGACATCAAATAAAGAATAATTAATGCTGGAATGAAGACATCAAATGTGGAATAATGAATGCAGGAATGAAGACATCAAATGTAGAATAATGAATGCAGGAATGAAGACACCAAATGTAGAATAATGAATGCAGGAATGAAGACACCAAATGTGGAATAATGAATGCTGGAATGAAGACATCAAATAAAGAATAATTAATGCTGGAATGAAGACATCAAATGTGGAATAATGAATGCAGGAATGAAGACATCAAATGTATAATGAATAATGAAAAGACACCAAATGTGGAATAATGAATGCAGGAATGAAGACATCAAATGTAGAATAATGAATGCAGGAATGAAGACATCAAATGTAGAATAATGAATGCAGGAATGAAGACATCAAATAAAGAATAATTAATGCTGGAATGAAGACATCAAATGTGGAATAATGAATGCAGGAATGAAGACATCAAATGTAGAATAATGAATGCAGGAATGAAGACATCAAATGTAGAATAATGAATGCAGGAATGAAGACACCAAATGTGGAATAATGAATGCAGGAATGAAGACACCAAATGTGGAATAATGAATGCAGGAATGAAGACATCAAATGTAGAATAATGAATGCAGGAATGAAGACACCAAATGTGGAATAATGAATGCAGGAATGAAGACATCAAATGTAGAATAATGAATGCAGGAATGAAGACATCAAATGTAGAATAATGAATGCAGGAATGAAGACATCAAATAAAGAATAATTAATGCTGGAATGAAGACATCAAATGTGGAATAATGAATGCAGGAATGAAGACACCAAATGTGGAATAATGAATGCAGGAATGAAGACATCAAATGTAGAATAATGAATGCAGGAATGAAGACATCAAATAAAGAATAATGAATGCAGGAATGAAGACATCAAATGTGGAATAATGAATGCAGGAATCAAATAAAGAATAATTAATGCTGGAATGAAGAAAGTAAAAAAAAAAGAAAAAATATGGAGGAATGACAAAAAGGGAAAGAAGGAGGCATGAATGAAAGAAGGAAAGGAAGAATATGGATGCTGACAAGAAGACGGTAAAGGAAGAAAATTAACGTGGAATGAAGAAAATGAAGGAAGGAATAATGATGAAAGAATGAACAACGTGAAGGAAGAAAAATATGCGGGAATGTAGAAAGCAATGGAAGGAAAAGTATCCTGTTAATAAGAATGAAATGAAAGACGAAGAAAGGTATGAAGAAGGAAAAGGAAAGAAAGAAAACCAATGAAGGAATGAATAAACTAACGAAATAAAAATGTATAGAAGATTAATGAAAGTAATGGAAGAAAAACGGAAGGATGTGAAAAGAAACTAAATAAAAAAATGATAGAGGAATAAAGAAGCTAATGATAAAAATTGGATGGTGGATTGAAGTATTTACATGAAGAAAATGATAGAGGAATAAAGGTAGAACAATGAATGGAGAAATAAAAAAGTTAAGAATGAAAAAATATGAAAGTAAAAGAATAAAATATATGCACGAATGAGGAACGCAAAGAAGGGGAAAATGCAAGAAGGAAGAAGTAAAGGAAGAAAAACGACGAAGGAATGCAAAATTGATGGAAGAAAAAGGATCAGGAACGAAGAAATAAAAGAAAAAATATATAGTAATGAAGAAAGAAAATAAAGACAAAAGTATGTAGGAATGAAGATTATAAAAGCAGGAAAATCCTGCGGGAATGAGTGAAATAAAGGAAGAAAATGAATGCGGAATGAAGAAACAAAAGGAAGGAAAAAGAATGAAGGAATAAATAAAGAAGAGGAAGAAAAAGGATGCGGGATGGAAGAAAGTAAATGATGGCAAACGGATGTAAAAATGAAAAAATTAAAGAAAGAAAAAAGGATGGAAGAATGAAGAATGTAACGGAAGAATAATGAATTGAGTAGTGAAAAATATAAAGGAAGAAAAAGGATGCGGAAATGTAGAAAGTAAAGATTAGAAATTGTTACACGTATGATGAATATAAAAGAAGTATAGGAAGCGCGAATAAAACAATTAACGAAAAAAGGAAGGAAGATTGAAGAATGTAGAAGAAAAAGAATGGATGGAAGGCTAAAAATGATAAAAATTAGAAATTAAATGTAGAAAAACGATGAAAGAACTTAAGTAAATGAAAGAAAAGTATGAAGATTTAAAGATAAAATGGAAGAAAAGGATAGAGGGAAAGAAAGTGATGTAGAAATTAAGAAAATAATAGAAGATTAAAATTATGACGGAATGAAGATAGAAAATGAAGAGAAGATTTTTCATTGAAGAAAGTAAATGAAGACAAATATATGTTGGAATGAAAAAAACGAAAAAGTAAAATGTTTATAAAAATGAAGAAAGAAAGGTAATAAAAAGAATACGGTAATGAAGACATTATAGGAAGGAAAACGGATTGAGGAATAAAGAAAATAAATGAAGAAAAAACAATGCAGGAAAGAAGAATCTAAAGGACGAAATATGATGCAGGGAAGAAGAAAATAGAGGAAGAAAATATTGATGTCGGAATGAATAAAGTAATCGAATAAAAACTATGCTAGTATTCAGATTGTAAAGGAAGAAAATTGGGTGAAGCAATGAAGAATGTAAAGCAAGAAAAAACGATGAAGGAATAAAGAACGAAAAAATGGATGGAGTTGTGAAGAAAGTAAAGTAGGAATGAATAATGTTATGGAATTAAAAAGGATGTAAGAATGAATAAAGTAAATGAAGAAAAATGATGGAGGAATCAAAAAACTAAAGAAAGCTAAAATGATGGGGGAATGTAAAAATAAAGAAAGAAAAAAGAATGTAGGTAGGGAGAATGTAAAGGAAGGATATAGGTTTTAGATGTGAATGAAATAAAGGTAGAAAAATGTTGCAGGAGTGAAGAAAGTTATACAAATGATGAATTAATGAAGAAACTAAAGGAAGAAAAAAAGATGTTTGGATGAAGAATGTAAGGAGAGGAAAAATGATAGAGGAAAGAAAAGAAACGTTTTCAGAAAATGCATAGAGTGATACTAGTGTTTTCTATATGTAAGATAAATTCTGGAGAGAAAAAATGTCTGTCACGACACAGTGAAACAACCTTCTTAGCAGTACGCTTTACAATTTGATGAGTATATTT